TAACGTACCCTATTCTAGTCGAAATTCTATTACTACACTATGTTTGTTTTGATTAGCTATGAAAGTTTGACAGATAACATCAGGGGTGTGTGGATTCATGCAGAACATGCAGGGGTGAGTGAAATAGCTTGGGACTGCTTGGGACCGTTGTTCTGGTACTGAGTGAGCCAAAAATAATAATGATTTTCTTCGGGACCCAGTGGTCTTAGAGTTACCTCTATGATGTTACGTTGCTTAAATACAACTAAATCACAATGTTTTCTAATGTTTGACATCAGGCATACATTTGATTTCGATGCTGATGTAGACATCAAAATCAAACGTTGGGCTAATGTAAATTTCTATTCGGGAACCTACTCTTAATTTGACAGTTCTACAATTTCATTTCAAAAGTAGAAACCACAGACAAACAGACATAACACATTGAATATTTCTCACTGTAAAACATCGTCGCTAAAACATTACCGCCATCTGTTGAATACACTGTGGTGGGTAGTACGCTGAACAGATGGCGGTAGTGTGCAAACGTCAAACGCAAGGGAATTGACTATGCGCGCCATGGTATTAGCATAGAGGTAACTCTAAGACCACTGGGTCCCGAAGAAAATCATTATTATTTTTGGCTCACTCAGTACCAGAACAACGGTCCCAAGCAGTCCCAAGCTATTTCACTCACCCCTGCATGTTCTGCATGAATCCACACACCCCTGATGTTATCTGTCAAACTTTCATAGCGAATCAAAACAAACATAGTGTAGTAATAGAATTTCAACTAGAATAGGGTACGTTAATCGTTTGCTTGGGACCAATAGGCTACTAAAGTGGTGAGCCAATTTAAAATCGTTAGTTTCGTATTGATTGTTGGTATTAGTGAGAAGTTTCACTAATACATGCATTTTACTGGTTGAAAATAAAAAACAAACCGCTGTCAAGTCGAACACTTTGACAGCTGATTTCGTGGTTGAAAATAATAAACAAATCGATTATACAGGGCCACGCTAGCTAGGTTGTATTAATGAGATCTTGCGTCGAGAAGTCAATGAGAGCTGCTTTAAGGGGTTACGCCCGTTACGCCTACCTGCAAACTTTCAAAAAATCGTTTTTTTTTATTGTCCTAATCGAAAGTATATAAAGTCAAGAATATTTCCTCAAAAGATCAAGTTGATCCGATGAAAATTGTGAAAGTTGTGCGACGTACAAAAATATTCACTTATAGTGGACTAAACCCAACTTGAAACTTTAAACGCGATTATCTCGGAATCATATTTTCAAAACCGGCGCCAAAAATTTCTCGAAAAGTATACATTTGATTCGTCCGATTCGTTTTGATTTCTGTTCAGTACTATTTTGTGCAGTCCACGATCGTTCGGACACAAACGAAGTGGCAGACGGAGCGGCTCGAAAACTTTGGTGACTAACCTGCTATTTCAATTTTTCAGTGTACCCCATGGCAACACCACTACTACTGGATTGTACCAACAATCAATACGAAACTAACGATTTTAAATTGGCTCACTACTTGACTAGCCTATTGGTCCCAAGCAAATCGATTAACGAACCCCATTCTAGTCAAAATTCTAGTACTACACAATGTTTGTTTTGATTCTCTATGAAAGTTTGACAGATAAAATAAGGGGTTAGTGGATTTTCAGATGTTTCGAGGGGTGAATCGATTAGCTTGGGACCGAAGATAGTACCAGAGCTGAGCCAATAAGTTCAGCACGTTGATTCGGGACCTTCTGGTCTTAGAGTTACCTCTATGATTGTACCACATGGCAACACAACTACTGGATTGAACTAGCATTTTCACCAAATGTACTAGAATGTTTTGGTTCTATCTCTTTCACTCTACTCAAAACTGAAATGCATAAAAAAAATGACAAAATGATACACTCTTTGCACACTGTCAAAGAATCATTGTACACAAAATCAACTTAGTGCAAAACCAAAACAAAAATAGTATCCCATATGGTGGATGATGGCACAAGCTTCTAAAAAAATTCTATTACAGCGAACCCAGTATTTTAATGGATTTCTTCGACGGTTAGTCGTATGTCACTTCGTTTGTGGTTCGGATTTCGTCTATCATTTAATTTCGATTTTTTACAGCCACTTCAACTTTGCAAGGCCGCCATTTTGTCAAAAAAATTAAAAAAAAAACCGAACGATCAACACTGATAAAATTCGACACATTTTTATTGGCGAATTTCCATGTAAAATTCCACATAATTTTCATGGGTCCACACATAAACAGAATCCACTCAGAAGTACACATGAAATTTATGAGTCAAATGAATAGTATGTGTGGTTACACATGAATTTTATACGTACACATAAAAACTATGTGTCCGACACATATCTATCATTTGTTTATCACATTGCAAAAATTCATGTGTGGGACACATACAAATAATCATTGAATTTTTATTAGTGAAGAATTAGTTTAACACATGCTTAACGATTTGGCATGGTTTTTTTTTATTTCAGATGATTACATCACAAACCGCAGTTGGCACCGCAAAAAGCGTTTTTTAGAACATCGTCCACGGGGAGCAGCCGTGCGGGGCACCAGGACCTCGTTTTTACAGCATCGACTGATAAATGTACCATTTAATGTGTGTTCAATAAACGGCAGAAAACCGATTTTCAATATGTTGCGTCGTTTTCGAGAAAAAAAAAATCCAAACTTTCGCTTTTTTTTCGGTCTTGCAGGTAGGCGTAACCCCTTAAGTTTATTTTTTAATCAAGACAGTTTTTGACTTTCTCGACAGAATATAAAAGGTTTTTAAAACAGCAATAATCTGAATTAGTAATCAGGAATGTTTTAAACTTTGAAATGCTGTATTTAAACTAAATGGATTGTTCATTGCCGTTATAAATCCAACATAAATCAGAGTGGATGCCAAGTAGCTGCTGAATTGTTACTTGGGCGACGCTTCTACACGGATTTATCGGCAGCATTTGACAAGATCATCCACGCCATCGCCATAGCTAAACTTGAACGACTGGGGATCAACGGATTCTTAATTCTTACTATCCTGATTCCAGTAATATCTCATCTTCTTCTTTCCTATATTTGACGTCGGTCTCTGTTCCGCAATCTAGAGCCAATCACCGACGGACATCCATTGACGGCAATCGAATGTGTAGGAAGGCAGCTTCCACACCTGCGTAGGATATCGCACCCATTCAACACAACACATGGGCCGGGACCAACGGCTGTATTCCCGCATAAACGCGAACCATCACATGACCTTACCGATAATGGTTATAAATTGTTTATAATCCCTGCTAAACTTCAACTGAAATGGTTATGGAACTTTACATGAACGTTTGTGTGATAAACTTTTAACCTCATGTATTATGGTTTTTTGGAAGCGGACCTTACAAATAATGGGTTGTTAAGAACCATTACCATTCAAAATTCTTGTTTTCTCCATACATTTTCGGAAAGAGAACTATATTAGAACGTTTTTACTTATGGTTTGAGAACATTAATGGTTATGGTTATGGTAGTCAGTAAGGTCCATTAATGGTTTTGTATTACTGCTCAACTTTACGTGAAATATATCGTGAATTGGTAATCAGTAATTTACAGGCAACCAATTCGCGATATATTCCACATAAAGTTGATCGATGTTACAAAACCATTCATGAACTTTACTGGTTACCATAACCATTACCATTAATGTTCTCAAACCATAAGTTAAAACGTTCTAATATAGTTTTCTTTCCGAAAATGTATGGAGAAAACAAGAATTTTGAATGGTAATGGTTCTTAACAACCCATTATTGGTAAGGTCCACTTCCAAAAAACTATAATACTTAAGGTTAAAACTTTATCATTAAACGTTCATGTAAAGTTCCATAACCATTTCAGTTGAAGTTTAGCAGGGATTATAAACAATTTATAACCATTATCGGTAAGGTCAATTTATGGTTCGCGCTTATGCGGGTTTCCCTTCCAAAGGAAGATGTGAACAGAGATTTTTATGGCTCAGAAAAATCCCACCGACCTCGGCTGGGATTGAACCTAGACCCATTGGGGTGAGAAAGCAGTCACGTTTACCACCAGTAATATCTCACCGAGCGTCAACTTTGTGTTTGAATCGAGGAGTGTTATTCGTGTACCTTTCCAACAAACTTGGGCCTAGCCCAGGGAAGGCACCTCTAGAAATACTCAGAGGGAGCATCCCTCTGAGTAGTTCTAGTCACCTCGGGCCATTCATTTTCCTCATTTACTCCACCGATGTAAAGCTTGTGCTAGAGGGACCTCGTCTATCCTTCGCTGACGATCTGAAGATTTTTTTTTAAAGATTCTAACGCACGCCGTTGCTTTGTTTCTACAAAAGCAGATTAACATATTCAGTGACTGGTGTCACTTAAACCGGATGACTGTGTACCCGAAGAAATGCTCAGTAATCAATTATGCTCGGGAGAAAGAGCCCTTGATGTTCAATTATACACTGCTAGGCGTTGTTATTGAACGAGTAAGTTACATAAAAGGCCTAGGTGTCATTTTGGACTCGCAAATAACATTTAAACAGCACATATTGTTTATCGTTGACAAAGCTTCGCGATCTTCGGGTTTCATCTTTAGATTTTACCGATGTGTCTTGCCTGAAATCACTGTACTGTTGCTTAGCGCGCTCCACCTTGGAGTACGGTGCTGCTGTTTGGAATACTTTTTTTTATCAAAACGGAGCACAGCGGATCGAATCTGTTCAACGAAGATTCATTAGCCACGCCTGACGACTACCCTGGGAAGACCATTATAGATTGCTTCCTTACGAGGCTGATTCACCTGGAACCTTTAAAGACACGACGTGGTGCTCTGTAGGCTTTGTTTGTCGCTGATGTGTTGCAAAATGGGGTTGATTGTCCAATTATACTTGCCCAAATGAACCTCACCGATTACCATTGGCCCGGACCAGGTCTAACTCTGACTAGTGTACATAAATTAAGATTAGTTTCATTATCCAATGATATGATCCATTGTTTATTTTTACAAGCATAAGTTAGGTAGAACGCCAACATTGATTGCTTCGAAGTAGGTAGCAGTTATTTATCACAGTAATTCCAACTCCAAACGGCCTCCATATCCCGGTCCAGCTCCGGTTTTTCCAATCTAACCACTGCACATTTCCGCATGCACTCCTGCAGTGTGTAAATCGTATCTTCGTCCACTTTGAAGCAGTCCACCACGTGTAGCTCTTTCAAGTTGGGGAACACCTTCGGGATATCCAGCACTGTTTTGTTTGTTATCTGTAACGGATGCGATACGATACAATTTAATAATACTTATGGTTTTGATCTGGAAGCCAACATATGGTACCCATCCGCTACCGCCTATGCTGAGCGTCCGGAGGTTAGGACACTTGGGGAAACGAATAAATGCATTTTCCGAAATCGAAATGGACCAACAGCGCAGTTCGATCAAATTTGTCAGATTGTTGAGCAGCTGGAATCCATCGTCTTTGATCTGAAATGAATATGGTCGTAAAGTTCTCGTCCGATTCTTAATTCATCCTGTTGTCTACCTGATAACAGTAATCCAAGGCAAGCACCCTTAGAGAGGTCATAGTTTTCGTTAGTAACCGTAATTGAGCATTTTCGAACGTATGATCGTAGATTTTCAGCATCCACAAGTTCGGTACAAAGCTAGACATATGATGATAGAACCCATTGGTGGTCGATATTCCGTCCAGTATCAAATGGGTTACTTTCGGCAGTTGAATATCCTTCAAAAAGTTACCATCTCTAATCGATCCTTGAAGTTTTAAAATTCTCAACTTGTGTAGTGCTGTAATATTTTGAAAGCTTGCAGCTTTGAGCGAGTGTACGTTCACACATAAACTCGTAAGGTTTTTCCATCTGCTGCAGATCAGTTCGAATGTTGCTTCATTCAGTGGACCGGTAAGGGAAGCACCCTGAATCGCTTCCATCCGCCCAAAAACGCTGACAACCTGTCTAAAGTCGCTTGGCTGAGGCCAAGACACATGCATTCTCTCCAAATTGTCCAAACAGTTCAAAGTGGAAAACCTCCGAAATTGCGAGTATTCCAATAGAACATACAGATACTTCAACTGTTTCCCATACGATACAATCAAATCGATGGCAGCATCTTCAGCACCGAGCATATCCAGCGAAATCAAATTGGGAAACATGCTAGGAATTAGTTCGCATAGCTCGCTTTCGAATCCTCTCTGGCTCATTTCCAGTGCCTTAACGTCTTTGAACGCCGGCAGCACCATATCGCAGTCCTCGCTGCACATACTGCCTTCGATGATGAGCTGTTTTAGGTTGGGTGTCTTCAGTAGGAATCTCACTAGAATCGGCGGTGTGACGACGTAGGTAGCCAGTTTGAGCGAGTGCAGATCATTGCCAAATCTACCGACAACATCCACCATAAATGGAACACTGGAGGCTTCGGTCCATTCCAGTGTTAGATTGCGATAGCAGCGGTTGCTTTTGAGCAGGATTTTCCGGTCCTTCGGACTGAGGTAGTCTACTACGTGTAGAGCGACGGTCCTCATGGGCCGGTCTGTGAATGCTAGACGATTCCATTGGCGGCACACCCGGGATGCTACCTTTCGATCTCGGAGTTTTAGATAACTAAAGATAAGGATAACAACCTGCAAATGTGATTTCAAAGGGAGTGAGTCAATTTGATAATGATGCTTAAATAGTACTTCTTCAGGAAGATCGCGAATCTTGACCATTGCCACCAATAGCAAATGTAAATATTTTTCTATCTATATCGGATTGTGGTGAGTTACTTTGACACTGTCAAATTGACAGGCTAACTCAGCGGTGCCAGATTGTTTTAAAGCTTATCGGTGTCGAATGTATTAAAAAATCGTTAAGACCGGCGCACAACACGCTAACTTGAAAGTACTCATTAATGAGTAAAAAACGACCCATTTTGAAGAAAAGTGGCTTAACTCATTAATGATTAAACAATTTTACCCATTAATGAGTATCTGTTACCCATTAATGATTAACAATTACTCATTAATGGGTAACAGATACTCATTAATGGGTAAAAAATTTACTCATTTAATGAGTTAAGCCACTTTTCTTCAAAATGGGTCTTTTTCAACCATTAATGGGTACTTTCAAGTTAGCGTGAATAGATACGTCGAGAGTTACGTTTTCAGGTTTTTTGACAGTTAGCCCATGCATTATCTGTCAAAAAACCCGAAAACGTATGCATTGTGCGCCGGCCTTTAGTTATCGGTATTTACTATTCAATTAATTTTAAATTTCTGCCGTTTTCGAAAGCAATTTTTTAGAAATTGTGACGACTGGGACTTGAGGGGAATTGCTTTGTTTAACGGCTTTCTCAGTCTTAAAACGCTCTTTAATTTTTTAAATTATCGTTGTCCTCATATGGTGATCGAAATTGTGACCAAGTAGTTTTTTTTTTCAATTAAATATCATTAAATGAATTTTTTGAATTAGCTTCTGAACGAAGCTGAAAAAACATCAACAGAAAGACGAAAGAAGCACTCCCGGATGAAGTTCGAGACAAGTCTACCAAGACACGAATAGAGAAACTTGTGGTGAAAATTTAAATAAACTATCGGAAAAAACAACCGGATGTCACATCCAAAGGAAGCCAGAAAAGCTTCAGAAATCGGAGCTACATTTCCAGAAGTAGCCAAAGAAGCCAGAAGAAGCTCGGAAAAACCTTCCAATATAAGTCAAACGAAAAAACCTTCCAGAAGAAGACGAAAGAAATTTCTGGGAAAATTAATTGTACTTCCTGGAGAAGACTAAAGAAACTTCCGAGAGACGCTGGCAGAAACTTCCTAAGGTAGATTGCAAGAAACATCTGAAGAAAGTCGGAAGCCAGAGCGCTTACGGAACAGTCGAAATAAACAAGGACATAATTCCGGAAGGACGAGATTCCTGGGGGATGTTCAAACGATCCAGAAAATTTTCCTGATATTCATAAAACATCCCTGAAGTTTTCGGAACATTCCTGAAAAGCAAATAGAAATATTCCATAATTCCTCGAAATTCCTTAAAAGTTCTTGCAATTTTCCTGAAATTAGGGGATGTTTTGGAATTCTCTGGGTCATCCTCGAAGCGCTCGGAACTTTCCTGATTATAATAAGACTACCGAAATATCTCTAATGATCTTTGAAGGTCTCTGGACTTTCTTGAAGATGACGAAATCTCTATAGTGCTCTCACAATTTTCTTGAATTTATTGTAACATCAGCATTGAAGTTCTCTGATCTTCCCGATGTGTTTATTTTTAAAAGTTATCGACACTGTCCTTAAAAGCATGGAACTTCCCATAAGTTGTTCTCACAATGATCAAAAGAGCATGTACCTTCCCTTACGTTTCCAAAAATTTGCATACATTGCTGAAGTTTTCAGAAATTTCCTGAGTTTCTTGGAACTCCTTTACTCGAAAAAAATGCACCAGACAAAAGTGTGCGTCAAATATTTATTTTAAGTCGGATTTTCTTGAAACTTTCAGGGAATGAACTAATACATATGAATTATGTTTCGGCATAATTACTTTATTCAATTTCCTTTCCATCGCTGGAAGCCCGCACCTTTCCCTTAAGACCCCTCATTACATTTTGTGCAATGGTGGAGCCAACCTTTTTGATCACTTTCATCCATTCTTTCTTCAACTCCAGCTCGTTCTTAAACACCTTGGACGATTTTCGAACTTTGGCCTTCATTATGGCCCAAAATCTTTCCACCGGACGAATCTCTGATGAATTTTGGGGGTTGGCGGTTTTTGGTACAAAAACAACGTTATTGTCTCTGTACCAATCCAACATCGATCGCGCGTAATGGCATGATGCCAGGTCCGGCCAAAATAATGTCCAGCCGCAGGAAGGGCAACAGACGCTTCTGGAGGCACTTGGTACGGTAAATTTCGCTGTTGATGGTACCCATTGTGATGTACGGTTTACTCAGTTTAACGCATTGGCATATGGCTTGCCAAAGCAAGTATTTTTTGGCGAATTTGTCCACTTTCTTCTTCCTTATGTCCTCCGGAACATCAAACTGTGATTTGGCAACGTAGAACTCCAGCCCCGGTATCTGCTTTGTGTCTGCCTTGATGTAGGTTTCATCATCCATAACCACACACATCGGTTTCGTTAACCACTCTCGATACAGCTTCCTTGCGTGGGATTTGGCCACTGTGTTTTGTTGATCACGCCGGTTCGGTGCCTTCCGGACCTTGAATACATGAAGCCCAGCTCGTTTCATGGTTTGCTGAACGAACCAGGCGGAACACTTTGCCTTCAGAGCCACGTCGTGAATCGAAAGGTTCGGATTACGCTTGAAATAATCCAACACCTTCCGGGCCTTCACAGGGTCAGCTGTCTTCGATTTTCTTCGACTTTCAGCCCACCGCTCGGTCGTCTGGAACTCCTTAAACGATTTTACCACCCGAGACACAGTTGTATGGGTGATTCCCAGTTGTCTTCCGATCCATCTCATGGTCGCAGTCGGATTTTCCATGACGGCGCGCAAAATTCTCCGGCGATTTTCTTCTTGTTTCGATGACATCTCAATAACCACTGAACCGATTGTTATGAAATTTTTCACATATAAACAATTCACTCCAAACTAGTTATACCTAGATTTTCATCATTTTTTACCCACGTATAAAAAAAGTTACTCACGGATTTTTTTCGAGTACAAGCCTTATTTCAGCAATTTCATTGAAATTCATTGATCTGTCCTGATGTTCTCTGAACTTCACTAAAGTTCCTGAAAACCATTAAATTTCCCTGAAGTTCTTTGAACTTGTGAAGTTTCCTAAATATGTATGATGTTTCCTTAAGTTCACTGGAGTTCGCTGGACTTTTCTGAAATTTCAGGGTTTTCGAATTATAACAGAATTTAATGAAACTATTTTTTATTTATCAAAACTTACACAAAAGTCTGGAGTTTTCTGAAGTTTAAGAACTTCTTAAATGTTCCTGCAGCTAGTGTGGATCCGCAATAAAAATCTGATAGCATCCTTGAAGATCCGGGAAAGTTGAAAAAAAAACTGGCGGGAGAAGATGAAATAATCATTCGAGCTGGAGGCTGGATAAGCTTCCAAGGTGAGATGGAAGAAAATTTCAGAGAAAGTTGGATGAAACTTCAGGAAGTTTTAAAATGAATAAAAGCTTCCGAGAGTTAAATAATGTTTAAAAAAATATACCTCGATTCCCTAGGAGCTACCGGCCATCGACAATTTCTCGATTGATGAGTAGCCAATCAAAGGAGGAAATGAAAACATTAATCGAAAGAGTATCAAGCATAAGGCAACTTTTTTTTTTTTTTTTAATTCGTTTATTTTTCCAGGCTCATTTGCTGTAGCTTTGCGGAGCCGATATTCATTGTTTAAATAACAAAATTACTTAAAACTAACGTTAGTAAAGCGGAGGCCGATTACTCGCGGCTATCTCGAGGTTAGGGGTAACAAATTGTAACAAATGGATGGCAGGGTAGGGATTGTGAACACAAGGTTTGGAGAGCAATGTGCTCTTGATCTCGAACTAGGCAACACTCTGATGAAAAAGACAAACATGGGGGTACACCGATGGGCAACTAACAACTTGGGAGAACACAAGATGACACTAACTACTAAATCCTCAAATCTATCCGTTTTAAAAACACATAAATTAAATTCAAATAGTCGAGGTCTCGGCTCGCCAAGACATCTCTAACGGGTATCGCGGGTTGTTTTCCTCGGGCCCTGAGGGATGTGGATAACTCAGATCTGGCAACACGGTGTAAAGTACATGACCAAACAACATGCTCGATATCGTGATAACCACTGCCACACGCACATAAATTGCTGCCTGAGAGCCCAATTCGATAGAAATGCGAGTCTAACGAGCAGTGATTGGACATAAGCCTTGATGTAACGCGTATAAAGTCGCGGCTCATGTCCAACCCTTTGAACCATGGCTTGTTCGACACCTGTGGGAGAATAGAATGTAACCATCTTCCCAATTCACCATCATTCCATTTTTGTTGCCAACTGATAAGGACTTGCTGACGAGCAATGGAGAAAAATTCGTTGAAGGCGATTTGTCGCTCAAAAATATCGCCTTCCATAGCGCCCACCTTAGCCAATGAGTCCGCTTTCTCATTACCCGGAATTGAGCAATGAGATGGGACCCAAGCTAAGGTGATAGTATATGAGCAGTTAGATAAAGCACTCAGTTTAGATCGTATTTCAGGCAGGAAATACGAGGAGTGCTTCATCGGCCTCATTGAACGAATAGCCTCCAATGAGCTAAGACTATCCGTAAAAATAAAATAATGGTCAGACGGTAGTGAGGCAATTCGCTCTACTGCGTAAAATATAGCTGCGAGTTCCGCAACGTATACTGAGCATGGTTTCTGCAGTTTACAAGAGGCGCTATGAAATTGATTAAATACACCAAATCCAGTGGAAGCATTTATGGTTGACCCATCTGTGAAAAATCTTTTATCGTTACTTACATGGTGGTACTTGATTGCAAAAATTGAGGGAACAACCATCGACCGATGGTGATCTGGTATTCCATGGATTTCTTGCATCATGGTCAGATCAAAATTTACAGAGGAACTATAGAAGGCTTGAAAGCAATCACGATTGGAGATTAATGAAGAAGGACCAACCTCCAGCGTCATGTACTCATAGTACAAACTCATGAATCTTGTTTGAGGATTTCTGTCGAGTAGCTTCTCAAAATTTTCTATTACCAATGGGTTCATTACTTCACAGC